ACAATTCTTTATGAGATATAGTACTTGGCTTCCTTCTGACACTGGGCCCTCAAGTTAGGACGGGAGTGCGGAAAGCAATTTCATACACAGAAAACACCATGAGTCCGTTACCTGAGTCTCTTAATCGAGCGAGTTCCTGCCGACGTTTCTTTCGTTTCTCCTTCTTGAGGGCGGCCCTGTACTTCTTGTGGCTGGAAAAACGAGACACACACACTCCAGCGTCAGTGCTCGCACCTGCAGCGCTGCCTGAGCTCCCCTCTCCTCCGCGCCCAGGGACAGGAAATCGCTCGGGTGCTCAGCAGTGAAATCTTGCTTCCCGTGTTTTAACTACAGAACGTGCATTTACCACCACCTCGCCCTTCCACACCCAGACAGACGGCAAGTCTGCATCTCGCCACCTGTTTCCCTCCTCGCCTCCCTGAGCCCATGGACGGCTGTGAGAGTCCGGGGCGCAGTCCTGGAAGGGCTCGAGCCGCCGCGGCAGCTGGCTTGCTTGGCCCAGCTCCTCTTTCCTTTCCGCCTGCACATCCTCCATGCCCAGCCTTGGCCCTCTCCGTTCCCTCTTCTCGCCAGGTCATCTCCCCCAACTCAGCTTACCTTAGTTTCCCCGGAAACATCATGTCCTCAGGCGCCGCCATCTTGCCGAAGCAGCCACGCCCCCAAGAGCCAGCCGGAAGAGGCAGACTTAAGGCAGCGCGCGGTGGCGCGCAGGCGTCGGTGCCGCGCAGCCTGTCGCCCGGGCGGGGAGCGTGCCTCGCCCCTGGCGGACCAACGACGGAAGACGGGAGACTCCTGTAGGTGGCTAGTCTTCAAAAGCCCTGCGCAAATAAATGCCTCCTTCCCGAAAACTCCTCTGGGGCTCCTACCCCGCTCTGGAAGTAATCCTTCCCTCTAGCGTTTCCCCAGAGCTGTATCACTACCTCTCCCCACACCATAGTGCGGTGATTTGTGGCCAGGAGGTTAAAGTCACACTTCTCCATCTTTTCTCTTCATCCGCCCACGAAGCCTCATCCCACAGGCAGCCGCTCGCCTGGCGTCGCAGTCCGACTTCTCCAGGTTCCGCCTCAAAGCTCCTGACTCCGCCCCCTCCCATTCACACCTGCCGGCTCTGTAGGCAAAGCTAACTCCTGGGGTTGGCAAAGGTGCAACCTCTGCTCCCAAGGAATTTACAATCTAGAGGCCGAGGGCCATTACATAGATATAATATGGTACAGGCAACTAAGTTTACTTAACACAGTCCACCTGGGGATTCAGGAAGAGCTTTGTGATGCCTGAGTTGAGTTTTGAAGGCAGACGGCCTTTACCCAGGTGGAGAAGGGTGAGAATTGAGTTGCAGGTAAATCGGCATAAGCAAAGGCACTGAGAGGTGAAACAATGTGGAATCTGCCAGAACGACGAGAATTTGGGCCATCGAATTTAAAGGGCAATTCGAGAGTATCAAGGAATACAGAGGTAGAGGTGGGCTGGGAATAGGAGGGCCTAGTATGCCATGCTAAGAAGCTTTAATTACGTTCTGTAGGCAACAGGGAACCGTTGCAAGTTTTTAAATTGAGGCTTGTTGTGGAAATATTTGTGTTTTAGGTAAATTACTCTGGTTTGCAATATAAAAGATAAAGCTGGAATATTGAGACCTAGGTGAGAGGTGACATGGGATTAAACTGAGGCAATAAGAGTAGATATTGAGAAGGCAAAATCAGCCATGCTAATAATTAGACTGTGATGTACGCGTACAAGGCCAGGGACAAGACCAAGAAAAAAGGTTTCTGCCAAGGACACGTTGTATCTGCAAAATGATTAACCCCAGTGTTTTGAGTGATTGGATAACTTCCCTGCCCTAGCTTTGTTCCTCTCCCCTCCAAATCAAAATTAGTGAGATACCCAATTACTAAAGTCACCCTGCTTCCCCTAGTCCCTCCGTGGAATCATTCAGAAGCCCAAACTCGCATAAAGCCCTGCCCTACTCCCTCTTATAAAAACACTTGCAGTAACACACCTCCAAGTTGACCTGGTCCAGCTCAGTGCCTCGGTAATTAGGAACACAGACTTTGGAGGTGGATGGACTGGAAACTCAAGCCTTGACTCTTTGATCTTGAGTAAATTCCTCAGTGTCTAATCCTCAGTTTTCTCATCTGCGAAAATCAAGATAGTAATAATAGTTCCCAAATGCATGCTATATGTTGGCATAGTGCCTGGCAATCGTCAGTATTCCCAAAACGTTAGCTGTTATAACATCATCATCATCATCATATGTGTGAAAACTTCCAGACCCCCTTAAGTGGAGGTTTAGGTACTTGTCCTGCATGTGCTCCCAGCACAAGTATTTCACCTTTTATAACACCTATCACACTATATTGTACTTTGTTGCCTACACATGTCTGCTTCTTGCACTAAATCTTAAAACTCCTTTGGGGCTGGCCCAGTGGCATAGTGGGTAAGTTCACACGCTCAGCTTCTGCAGCCTGGGGTTTGTGGGTTTGGATCCTGGGCACAGACCTACACACTGCTCATCAAGCCACGCTGTGGTGGCATCCCACACACGAAATAGAGGAAGACTGGCACAGATGTTAGCTCAGTGACAATCTTCCTCAAGCAAAAAGAGGAAGATTGGCAACTGATGTTAGCTCAGGGCCAATTTTCCTCACCCCCCAAAAAAATCCCCTCCTTGATGGTGGAGACTTGGCAGTTATAGCCCCTAACTAGAGAATGCCCTACATGGCACAAAATGTGGCTGTGCAAATCACCAATTTTGCTGGTTTCCATGACCAGGACTTATACTGAGAATTGCTGCTATTCTGAAAGCGTCAGTGCTTGGGTTGCTGCACATTTCTTATGAATTAGACCTGACTTTCATGCCAGATCAATAGTAAGAATTTCTTCTAGGAAGATACTCCTAATTTAAAAAGGGTACAGATTTAGATTTTATTTTATCATCATTTAGAAATGAATGTAAATCTCCTTTTATAGGAGTTAGACATTTATCTTCCACAATTTACCACTGAATTCATTTTCATGAACAAGCTTCAGTTGCTCAAGTTAATTTCATTAAAGTTACTCTAAAAGCCAATTCCATTTCCAAACTATAGTTATCATCATTTGAGTTTGATAAGTCATAAGATAAAAATAAGGTATGTAAAAATTTACTACAAAGATACATTCTACTGATATTCTGATAAATAGAACAAAGTTATCTTTATTCTGCAACATAACATATATTTTCTATTTTTCTTGGTGCCTAAAATACAACATCTACTTATTCTTAATTATGTATACTTCAGTTCATCCCCCCCTCATGGGAAAATGCCTAAATTTTTATTTTTCATTGTCAGAAGAAAATAGCTGATTATCTTTAAAAAGTTAAAGAAAATATTTTACTTACATAAATAATGTAATAGGTAATGCTATTACTAAAGATGTCTTAGTTATTATAAAATGGCCAAAGAATAATCCATAAATGTATTTTTCTCTTATTGCAAGCATAAAGGGAGAGCAAGGAAAAAAAGTCTACTCTCTGAATGCCAGGTTGGGACTCTTTCAATTAATTTGTTTTCTTCTTGCTCTAGTAGGACAGTGGTACTAGGATTCATTAAATAGTCAAGGCAGAAATTCTCAGGAAAGAACATTTCATTTTTTGCCTACCATTAATTTCAGTATTAGTCACTAGATTTACTCAAGGACATCAAGTGAGGTCTCAAGTCCTCTCCAACCCTCATTGCTATGCCAAGGGCTTTATATATTTTCCACATTACAGTTATAACTTAAAATAGCAAGATAAAATACTTACGAATGCATATTAATATGAAAAATGCATACAAATCTACATTTGTACAACTGATTAAGTTTTCTTTGGAGGAAAGAATTATCCACTGATAATTCTTATAACTTGATTCTTTTGTCTAGTGATAAGCTCAAAGCAACACAACTGCTGGTGGTTTGAGAAGGAATGGTGGCAGGGTGAAAATCCCCACCCAGAACCCAAACCAAAGTACCATTTCTAAAGAGTGGTTGAATTCAAAAAGCAGGAATCAAAATATGCATAGGGACAAGTGTCGTAGTCCTGCCATTACAATATACCATAGACTGAGTGGCTTATAAACAACAGCAATTTATTTCTCATGGTTCTAGAGGCTGAGAAGTCCAAGATCAAGATGCTGGCTGATTCGATGTCTGATGAGTCCCTCCTTACTGGTTCAGAGATGGCTGTCTTCTTTCTGTGACCTCATATGGAGGAAGGGGTGAGAGAGCTCTCTGGGGTCTCTTTTAAAGGGCACTAACCCCATAATGAGGGCTCCACCCTCATGACCTAATCACCTCCCAAAGGCCCCACCTCCTAATACCATCACATTGGGGATTAGGTTTCAACATATGAATTTTGGAGGGACCATTCAACATGAATGCATTACTATTTATATGTTATATTGTTTATATGTACTAATTATATGGTAAAATTAGAGCCAATTTGCTTAAATGAACTATATCCATTTTTGATCAATAAAATTTTACATGAAAGAACTTAACCAAGAAAGCTGGATTAAAAAGACAATAAAATGTTAAGCAGAATAAACATCAAGTAAATAATATTGATTCTCCTAGTGACACAGAAAAATACCTCAAGTGATTACAATACCATAGTTTTGCTAATATCGCGCCAAAAGAATGTGTCTCCCCGTGAGCAAGGGAAAGACATCTTCCTAAACTTTTTTGAGGTGGATGCCTGGTTTTAGAATAGCCAACTTTACCCTGAGTCATGTAGCCCTGGGAAAGGAGAAAGAGGCTGGCAGCTTGCCCTGTTGGTGATGTCAGCAGATTGTACACTGGTTTGACAGAAAGAGGAGAGCTAAGGAGGGGCGGGTGGCTCTTTCCATTCCTGCTTCTCTAATAAGTAAATCCCTTATGAGTTTTCTAGTCACTTTCTCATCTACGTGGTAAAGGATGTCTCACTAATTTTACAGAATCTTACACACTCAAAAAAACTACTAGGAAGAAAAGTCATTCAACAAATATTAATATTGTGAAGAAGGGGCTTTATTATATTATTTAATGAAGATGAGCAGCAATTTCAATACAAAATTCTTTCTCAAGCCCTTTGACAGACCTCAAGCCTATTTTTTCCCTTCATGTTTAGGAAGGTACAAGTAAAACACTTCCGGAAGCATAACAGACAAGTTTCCTGCTAGGGTATATCAGTAACCAGGACATCTAAAGCACCCTTTTGGGGACCAAATGACTAAGACACAGAAGAAACCACACCCCCAAGGCAGTTTCCATAACCTCTGCAAAGAAGGTGACCAAGAATTTATCATGCAAATCAGGCCACGGCGGAGCGTGAAAGAGGGTGCTGTTAATACTTACACCAGAACACCAGGTGTTAGTAAAGCAGGGGTGGCAAACCGCAACACCCTACCCAGAGCTCCTTTGTTTCTCTAAGGTATAAGGGCAAGTCGGGCATTCCATACACTGGTTCTCACCCCAATTTGGAAGACTCGCTGCAATAGAATTTTGCACTAAGCGTTTGCAAGATGCCTAGGAGGGAAGCCTGTATGCCCTGGAAAATGCCTATCTTGTGTGTTTATCTCCCCCCCCCCTTTTTTTTTTGAGGAAGATTAGCCCTGAGCTAACATCTGCTGCCAATCCTCCTCTTTTTGCTGTGGAAGGCTGGCCCTGAGCTAACATCCGTGCCCATCTTCCTCTACTTCATATGTGGGATGCTTGCCACAGCATGGCTTGCCAAGCAGTGCCATATCCGCACCTGGGATCTGAACCAGCAAACCCCGGGCCGCCGAAGCAGAACGTGCGCACTTAACCGCTGTGCCACCGGTCTGGCCCCTGTTTACCCCTTTAAAGACAAACATGGTTTGAAACCAATCAATTCTACTAAGTTAACGTAAACTTTTTCCCCCCACATTTATCTTTTTAAGAATTTTATTTATTCCCTAGGGCATACATGCTTCCCTTTCCCAGAAAAGGCCTGCAATCTAGAAGCAAATGCCTTCACCCCCTCTTTTTTTGGAGCAGAGATAATCTCCCAAACTTACACATACAAATCCAACCCTACCTTTTTTTCTACTGTATTATTTATTTTTAATTATAAAATATGCATAACATAAAATTTCCTCTTAACCTTTTTCAGTGGACAGTTCAGTAGTCTTAAATATGTTCATCCAGCCCTACCTTGCAGGCCAGATGACTAACATGTTAATGAAAGAAACACTACTAGTTATTAACGCAATATTGAGTCTGAACACAGGCTTATAGGCAATTAGAGACATTCCAAGATATTTATAAGCAAGGGTAACAGAGGCATGGATCCCTCAGAATATGTAGAATTATCTAGATTTTAGCTTATCTGATAAGTTTCTCTCTCTATTACTGTAGCAAGCATCTTCTAAAGCACTGTATAAATTGGGAGATTTATGTTGATCACCTGCCTCGCGTAGAATCTCAACTAATGAAATAAAGTTCAGACAGGTTTAAAGAAAAGCCAAGTGAGTTCTGTCATTGTGGAAAAAATATTATCATCATAGTCTATAAAAGTGTATAAACAACGCAAAATAATCCTATAAACTATAGACTATTATATTGCTAGTCTTTTGAAAAACATTTATGTAAATAAATCATGAAAGAATTTTAAGTGCTAGGCACTTCAAGCGTTTTCTTTAACATGTCCTGCATATGCTTTCTGTATGATCCAGACTTTAAGTAAAATCTCTGATCTTCAGAAATGCAGAAGGATTTCTAGATATTAGTAAGTACTTGCTTTCTTAGGATTAAAAAATATTTTCATATATCATAAATTGATAGTAAGTAAGCAAGCATATCTTGTACTAGTAATGACAACTAAAGATCAGGGCCAACATATTCAATGCCAAGGCCTTATAAAAGAATACACATTCATGTTTTGAAATAAAATATACCTAAAACCACGGCCAATGTTTGGTCAGGAAGTACCAGTTTGGGCCCTGAGGCTGTTTCTGAAAGGCCTGCATTCTGGATGGTCAATGTCTGTGCCTTACCAGTTGTTAACTATTTTGGTTATCATCCCTATTTATAACTCTATAGAACCACTAATTGATAAACATAAAAAGACAGCCCAAAAATGTCAGACATAAAAAGACATTACAATTACCAACAGGTTGCTAGAAGAGAAACTTACGTCTCTTGCTGGTACTTCAGTGACAAACATTATTATCAATAAAAGTAAGAATTTGTTTACCAAAGAGCTTTCCTCCAAGACTGAAGGAACACTGCCATACCAAAAATGCACATCTATAATTATTGTTAAATGCAAGTGTTTAGAATAGTCTAGTTAATTTTTTAAAAGCTAGTATGTTTTAAAGCAAAATACTGCCAAAATACAATCGTCTTAAGGAGTCGCTTGGCTGGTCGATGGCTTGGGTTTTGCTTGTATATTCAGCACATAATCATGACGGAAGGATGAGCGAACAGTGCGATTCATCAGGGGCTGAAGGGGGCGGAAGTTGTCCACCATTCTTTTCTCTTTCTCCCCCTCGGAAGTGAAAAGCAGGGTCCGAAATTGCTCAAGCTAGAAATAGAAGCAGGAAGCAAAAATAATTTCAATAGAAAAACAGCTTTACTTCATGAATAAATTACTCTCACCTTTACAACTCTGAAACATTCGTCTAAAATTGGATACAGAAGGAGAACTTATTTCTGGGTAGGAATGCCTGCCCCGCTGGACAGGAAATAAAATGTCGTTGTGGGAGGAGGAGCGTAGCAGGAAGTGGCAAAACCAGCAGGGCACTTGAGATGCAAAGACTGGGGGTCAAAGACCCTGTCTTCACATATTAGCCAGTTGCCAAGGACGAGTTACTTCATCTTTGATTCTCAAGAACCTCATCTTTAAATGGGCAAAATAGCCAGCCTACAGAATAATAAAGGCAAGGCTTGATGCATATAGTAACAGTGCAAAAAATGTTTTGTTTTTTAAAATTTAACTGAATCTTTAACATAAACAATGTATTTTTGATTGATCACTGCACCTGAGCACTGTGACAAAGCAATGCTGCCCGTGGATGTCTTAACTGGCCGTGGGATACCCCCGACTGGCATTGTCCAATAGAACTTCCTATGATGATGGAAATGTCCTCTGCACAGTTCATTACGGTAGCCACAAGCCACATATGGCTAAGTGCTTGAAATGTGGCCAGTGCAACTAAGGAACTGAATTTTTAATTTAATTTGCATTTGAATGTATCTATATTTAAATTTAAATGGCCATGTGTAGCTAGTGGCTAACATATTGGACAGTGCAGCTCAATACAAAAGGAGCGACCCCAGATCAAGGGCTTGTTCTCTAAAGTGGCAATAACATCAATCAATAGCCCCTTGGCTTTCTGAGCAACCATGTTATGGAACACTTGACTCCAAGCCAGCTGGAAAATCTGTTCACAACATTTCTCCTCACTCAGTGAGGTGCACTGTAGCTTAGAGAGGACAGTCTGGGGCACACTAGGCAAGCATGTGAAGGTTTGTTTGGATCAAAGACTTCAGGCCAAGTAGAACTGTAGAGGCGGGACTGTGACCAGGGGCAAGCACCAAACATAGTGACCATGTTTGCAAATTACATATCCTCATTCATTAGGATTGTGTCCATGTAGTTAAGATTTATTTTTAAGCTTTTAAGTTAATTGCAAAAGATTAGAAATAGTCCAAGTACCAATAATAATTTACATTAGAGCTATAAAATTGACTAATACATAGCCATTAAAAAATGATATCAAAGATAATGTTTATTACCTATAAAATGTTCCACACATCACTGAGTGAAAAAAAGCAGCTGGAGCTAGCCCTGATGGCCTAGTGGTTAAAGTTCAGTGCAATCACCACTTCAGCAGCCTGGGTTCAGTTCCCAGTTGCGGAACCACACCACTCATCTGTCAGTAGCCATGCTGTGGCAGCAGCTCACATGGAAGAACTAGAAGGACTTACAACTAGCATGTACAACCATGTACTGGGGCTTTGGGGAGGGAAAAAAAGCAGCTAAATGGTACATACAGAATGATTCCACTTTGTTAAAAAATTATATATATTTATGTAGTCATGCATCACTTAACAATGGGGATATATTCTGAGAAATGCATTGTTAGGCAATCTTGTGTGAACACCACAGAGCGTACTTACACAAACCTAGACAGTATAGCCTACTACACACCCAGGGTTTATGGTACTAATCTTATGGGACCGCTGTCATATATGTGGTCCATTGTTGACCAAAAGGTCATTATGTGGTGGATGACTGTATTTATTGGAACCACATCAAATTTATGGAGAATAAACAATTCATGGAGAATAACAACTTAAGGAGATGACATCAAAGGTGTCTTTATGATGTCTTCCTATTCAGTTACATGGTATGAATTTTATTAAGTAAATTCTTCTTTTGTGTCTTTCAGGAATGTTAAGTTTTCTTGTTAACCTTATTCCATGGTATTTTATATTTTTGCTTCCATTATAAATAATGTTCATTCTTCCATTATATCCTCATATCATTATATCTTTTAACTGATTGTGATTTATACATGTCAAATGTATTGATTTCTATAAATTAATATTGTACTCCACTAATTACTGAATTATCTTATATTTGCAGTAGTTTTTTATTGTTTCTCTAATTTATTTTTTCTTTTCTGGTTTACTTGTATTGACTACTTCCAGAATATAATCTACTATAAAATTTAATATGGTCATAATCCTTTCTATATTAAGCATACTATTTACTTTAGAACTGAGATCAATCTCTTCTATCAAGTTAGGGAAGTCTCCATACATTTATTTTACTGAAAATGTTTAAAAACTAAATGGTGAATTTTGCTAATGCATTTTAAGAATCTACGGAAATGATTATGATTTTTCTGTTTAGATTCACTTATACAATGAATTATATTAATATCATTCTTAATAATGAATCATCCTTGTATTACCGGAATAAATGCTACTTGGACAAAGCATATACTTCTTCTAACGTACTGCTGGATTCTGTTTCTACTATACTATTTGAGCTTTTGAAAAATATATTCTTCAGAGACATCAGTCTGTAGTTTTCTTTTTTTTTGGTCCAATCTTTGATGAGTGTTGGTATTAGTTATCCTGGCTTCATAAAAAAGATTTTGGAAGCTTCTGTTCTTGTGAAAATGCTCTGTAATTAATAAAAATCCCTTAAAGCAATCATAAGCAAGTATTATTGTAGTTTAGTTATATCATGAATTAAACAAGATTTTCACCACTTAAACTTAGTTTCTAAGGAAAAAATAAATTCCAAGTTCAAAACAACTGACTTAAAATTTCTAGACAGACATTGTTGGATTCTGTCTTCATCCTGAGAAGTCCAGAGCAAAATTACCTTAAGTATTTTAAAGGATTTTGAGCACATCCATTTCTAGCCTTCAATTTTCCCTTTAAAAAAGTCTTGTTTATATAGAGATTCATATTTATATATAAAATACACAATGCATAAAACATATGTCATTGTCAAATACGGAAGTAAAAAGCTTCTGTTTCCTAAGCTTTAATTCTTCTCTCTAGTTTATGTGAAGCATTTCCTAATTCTTATCCAAATTAAGACAAGATATTAGCACATGTTAATAAAAATGTATAAGCACTACAAGATGTTAAAAGCTGACGCCAAAGTTTGAGCCCAACCTTGTTTTAAAGGGGCAGACTAGAATTTCCTTATATAGAAACATGGAAAGACCGTACCTGATCATGATCAACCTCTACAGGCTGCTTCTTAATGATCCAGGTGACAGATTCAGAGAGTGGCGGAGTAGTCAGGGACCCCGAGTAGGTCCAGTAATCTGGGCAGGTGGGCATCAGGCAGGAAGGATCAAATGACCCAAATTCCACAAGGGTGTCCTGGCCAAGAGAAGGGGGTCATCATTTCATGGTAAAAACCACTCAGGAATGGGATGACGAGGTGATGATTCTAGGGGTTCCTGGGGACCAGCAGTGGTCCAGAGGAGCTCCAGGTACCTCTGGGCACCTTAGGACAGAATTATGCCCATGCTTTGTTCTTGCAATTAACTGTGTATTTTGGATAGTCCTCAGTGGGAACACAGCAGACACCATTTGCTCCCTCCATTCTAGTGACTTTACAGCAGGTGGTCTCCTCTGAACTCCTTGGGAGGCATTAGGTGGTAGCTGGTGCATAAACACGGAGGCTTCTCTTTTTCAAGAGACTAATAGAATTCTCCTTTCTAAAATGCAATATAAATCAGGAGAAGCCAGGATCCTGGACTAAAAGTGGGCGGGGGTGGGAAGGGAAGAAAGGAAAAAGAGGGAGATGGAGAGGGAGAGAGACAGAGGTGGGAGTGGGGGGAGGGAGAAGAAAGAATATATGGACTTCCATGGAGCAGTCCCTTTGGGATTCTGAACACTGAACAATTAATCTTGAGGGTTGAACAAAGTTATCCAACCTGAAGGATATGGGTAATTGTTCGTTAAAACTGGACAAACCAAATTTCTGTAAAACTTTTCTCTTCTCCCAGCATGTGGGAGGGTAGTTAAGTGTCAAGAAAGACACTCTGACGGTTTCCACAAAGATTTAGAAAGAGCAGGTGTCAGCAGCAGAGGAGGGGACAGCATTATGTTCCTGAGTCCCCAAGAGCTTGGTGGCATGGCAGCAAAACCAGAGTGGTCAGTGCCCACCAATCAAATTCCTTTTGTCCCCTGCAAAGTGTCCCAGGTCCAGGGCTCTCTCAACATAAGCATTATAAATGGCAAGTTGTCTTCTAGGCAAGTTTCAAAGAGAACCTGAATTACACTGAAGTTAATTACATTTGCCAATTCGAAGTGCCTTGTTAGTGGCTCCACTCTGAGACTGAAACATAAAACATATTTCAAGTGATACAGGAAAAAAATTATTACCTTATGCTTAATTGATGGCAAAGTATCCACTAACTTCTGTAGCTCTTTATGTTGTTTGCCTAGCTAAAGAAGAAGCAATGAGAAAATATTTAAAACAATTGACATCTCACTGAAGAAACTGTAACAGAATGCAAACTAAAATTAGCCACCTGGGATTACATAAAAACAAACAAACCACACTACTTCAACTACACTTAAACTGGTAATTTAGGACGTTATAAACATCACTGAATCAAATTAGACACAGAACAAATGAGCAGGCTGTTTGCTGACAGGGTCAGATTGCCTGCAGGGAAAGGTGCCCCTGTTCCTTTTAAATATCAGTTCTTAAACTGAAATTTACAATAATTAAAATTAAAAATGGCTCCACATACTGGTACAAAAACAGGTCCACAGATCAATGGAACAGAATTGAAAGCCCAGAGATAAAACCACACATCTATGGACAGCTAATCTTCGACAAAGGAGCAGAGGGCCTACAATGGAGAAAAGAAAGTCTCTTCAACAAATGGTGCTGGGAAAACTGGACAGCCACATGCAAAAGATTGAAAATTGACCATTCTTTTTCACCACACACCAAAATAAACTCAAAATGGATCAAAGACCTAAAGATTAGGCCTGAAACAATAAGTCTTTTGGAAGAGAATATAGGCAGTACACTCTTTGACATCAGTTTCAAAAGAATCTTTTCGGACACTATAACTCCTCAGTTGAGGGAAACAATAGAAAGAATAAACAAATGGGACTTCGTCAGACTAAAGAGCTTCTTCAAGGCAAGGGAAAACAGGATTGAAACAAAAAAACAGCTCACTAATTGGGAAAAAATATTTACAAGCCACTTATCCAACAAAGGGTTAATCTCCATAATATACAAAGAACTCACACTGCTTAACAACAAAAAAACAAACAACCCGATCAAAAAATGGGCAGAGGACATGAACAGACATTTCTCAAAAGAAGATATGAATATGGCCAATAGACACATGAAAAGATGTTCATCATCGCTAATCATCAGGGAAATGCAAATCAAAACTACACTAAGATATCACCTTACACCCGTTAGATTGGCAAAAACATCCAAAACCAAGAGCGACAAATGTTGGAGAGGTTGTGGAGAAAAAGGAACCCTCATACACTGTTGGTGGGAATGCAAACTGGTACAGCCACTATGGAAAACAGTATGGAGATTTCTCAAAAAGTTAAAAATAGAAATACCCTATGACCCAGCCATCCCATTACTGGGTATCTATCCTAAGAACCTGATATCAGAAATCTCAAGAGTCCGTTGCACCCCTATGTTCATCGCAGCATTATTTACAATAGCCAAGACGTGGAACCAGCCTACATGCCCAGAAACTGATGATTGGATAAAGAAGATGTGGTATATATACACAATGGAATACTACTCAGCCATAAAAAAAGACAAAATTGGCCCATTCACAACAACGTGGATGGACCTCGAGGGTATTATGTTAAGTGAAATAAGCCAGTCAGAGAAAGACGAACTCTATATGACTCCACTCATAGGTGGAAGTTAGTATATTGATAAGGAGATCAGATCGGTGGTTACCAGGGAAAAGGGGGGTTGGGGGAGGGCACAAAGGGGGAAGTGGTGTACCCACAACATGACTAACAAAAATGTACAACTGAAATCTCGCAAGGTTGTAATCTATCATAACATTAATAAAAAAAAAAAAAAAAAAAGGCTCCACAGTCAAAGTAGCCACATTTCAAGTGCTCAATGGCCACATGTGGCTTGTGGCTACTCTACTGGACTGTGCATTTTTATACCATTTGAAATATACTGATAACAATCTTGTATTTTAACCATTGTTTATTTTTACCCCAATATTCTTAGAACTTAATATTGCAATGTTGTGCCTTGTCATCATAGAAAACAACACATCATTTAAAGTAGGTAAGATTTTTTTTACCTTTAAAAATACCCCTATCACAGCCAAACCATTTTCTTCCAGTGCCGCATCCTCAAAGTTTTCAAATTTGACTGCATTCCAATGCACCAAGTGCAGCTGAAACACCATTACAAGAGGGTATGACACATCATCATGGAGGATCGCTCCAAAACAGACAGACAGCCTTATCCAACACATGATATTTTAACATGTTTCCTCATCCAAAATAAAGCCATTGAAAAAAGCATATGACAATCTGGTGCAAAATGAAATAGAAATAAATAACAGGAAGAAATGTATGCAGGAACAGCAATGAATGTTACTTTGAAATAGAGGGATTTACTTGGGGAGAAAAATAAAAAACAAACTTAGATAGCAAAGTGAGTAACATTTCAGTGAGGGAAGCAACATTTGTCCATTCCCATCCTGATTTGCATGAAACACTCATATTCAAAACCCATCTGCATCTAAAGCAAAGATGTTTATGTTGAGAGAAATAGATTCTCCCTATGGGAATTAGACAGGCGTTGAAGACAAATTTCTTTGAGGGATAACTACTTAAAATGTGTTTCTTTTTAAGGTAACATTTAAAACTAAATTAGGGGAAAAGTTGTAAGACAAAATTCTATTTCCTTATGTGCCTCCTATATTTCCCTACAAATCATTCCTCATCCGTCATTCACGAATGCATCATCGCCCCGCCTCCCGAGTGAGGCCCTCAAGGTCATGGTTAACTTCTCCCTCTCCTGTCCTGAAGAGGACCTTGCCTCCAAGTCCTGCTGCTTTTATTTCAGAAATACTTGCTAAATCTTGCTCTTTTTCTCTATTTCAATTGCTACCGCTTTTATTTAGGCTCCCAGCATCTCTCATCTGGATTACTTTGACCTGATGGCCCTGTACTTTTGCCTGGGTTATTACTTTAGGCTATAATTTGAGCCTATCTTAGAATTCTGGAAGAATTCAGTTGCAGGATCTTAAGATTCATTTCTGCAATATTATTTGAGATGAGGGAAGTTATTTTTGCATGTATAAACTGGGAATAATCAATTATGCCCCTGAGAGGACTATTTAGCATTTATAGGAATCACATGATTCTTCCTGATAATTTCTTAGAACTAGAAACTCAGAACTATCCCCCCTTCTCCACAGCTGTCACTGTTCCTGAGCTTCTCAACGTACCTCTGCGGGGTAACATTTGCTGTCCACGGTATGCTCGGAGCCCCAGGCATCGATGGCCCCCCAGTGAAAATGGAACTGCTTCAGTCGGTAGTTGTCTTCCAGGGGTCCTCCCTCGATCACTGAAATGGCACATCCAACAATTCAGGGGACAGCTATTCACGCCATGGAGGAATGCAGGGGAAAGGCCGACTCTGTGGGTTGACCCTTCTATACGACCTGTCCTAAATGGAGCACACTGTATCATATACATGTGTTTAGAAACTTGATTTCCACGCAGTTAATACATGTATAAGGGCAAGACCTGCACTCTGAATGACATCGAAATTTAACTACACTCCAAGCTACATACAACTGGTAAAGGCCAATTCTTGACTTACTGTTATATTCTATATTTACTGTGCCTCGTTATTTTTATATGCAATAAAATGCAAATTTCTCTCAGCATATTTATCCAACTCTCTCATAAAACTGAAATATGGGGACCACAGATATTCTCTTTCTGTTTTACGTACTGACACTTTGCTTTTCAATTTTTGAAGATACAAGTGTTTCTTTCCCTTTCATTGAAATGGAATAGGAAATTTCCAAGTCAAAAATTATCACCCATTTCCCTTTGGACCCAATGAACAATGTGAGTCATCAGCCACACACTTTACCACTGGCCTCACCATGTTGGATAACAAATACCTTTTGTTTAGCCTAGAGTTTTCTGGAACTAGTGAAATCAATACATTATAGGCAAAATATTCAGATACAACACGTTTTTAAAGTCACATTTCCTCAAGGCTTTGGGTGGTGCAGATTTTTTTTTTTGCTTGAATTTGCTAAAGCATATTAGTTCCTCATTCTTCCATCTCATCAGACCCTGGTGATGTCTGTCCACAGTTAAACCAATACAACACCACAAAAACCATCCATCTCATCGATCTTAATGATCTTTAGAATTTATTGCATCATTAGTTGAATTTTATGTAAGCAAATGATTGAGTACAGCAATCCGAAGGACCAAACACACTGGTTACGTCATGCAGTGGTCTGCTATGTATCTTAATGGCTTTCAAAAATATTTTACATAACTTCCTCTTTTAAAAAAAGAAGGAGTTTCGTAAGAGGTGAGTGAAGACACCAATGGCCACTTTCCTTTGAGGGGCAGGAGAGGTGCAGAGAATAGTATCATGTGATTCACTAAATTAACAGGAGGACAGTACTCCAGTGGACTGAAATAAAAATATCTTCCAAAAAATTCTTATTTTTCTATGCCAGCTCCATATTGTGAGCATGACTTTGGCAAATGATCTAATCTGTTGAATGAAATTGAAGTTCTGGTCCCACATGACCAGGGCAGAGGAAAGGGCCAGCTTTTCTCTCCTATCCACAGAAAAACACTGCAACATTTCCTGGACACGTACTGTGCGTCTTCTCCAAAGATGATCAAGGCAGAGAGATGTCACTGATGGGTGGCTGCAAGGGAGTGGCAGCACTGGTCTTCAGGTGTGTTTGGATCACCCACACTGTACACTAAACACATTTTTAATTCATTGCCAACATTTAAAGCTAGACAACTTCACATAGAAATCCACATTTCCAACTTGACTTGAGAAGGAGATGCCCTGCCCATGTTGGGCACACGCTCCCGCTGGGTAACAAGAGGCTAGATGGGAGAAATGGCGACCCCCATTTGGATGGTCCCACCAGTTCTTCACAGTAGCCACCACTGCTATTTCTCTCAGACTCTCCCAGCCTCGCTCATTTTCATGACTTCTCTGGCACTGGAGGTGCATCTGCATTTCTAATCCCTGGGAGAGAAGTTAGATGCCCAGGCATCTGACTTGGGCACTTGCTAGCTAGAAAAGTCATTAAGTTGCTACCATGTGCCAAGCACTACACCTATATAAACTGTACATAGGAAAGAGGTGAGACAGGGCAGCATTCTCCTGTATAATGTGGTTAAGAGCATGCACTTTGCAGGAAAAGGGCCTCAATTTGAATTAATTGGTTTTGTGTCATTAGCCACATGTGCTGGCAGTTTCTAAGATGACTCCCAATGATCCCCGTCTCCTGGTATTCACACCCTTATATAATTCGCTTCCCTGAGTGTGAGCTGGACCTTGTGACTTGCTTCTAAGGGTAAAAGTGATAGGATGTCACTTTTGAGATTAGCTTACAAAAAGACACTGGTTTCCATTTTGTTTGCCCTCTCTGACTCTTCTTGCTTGCCTGCTCTGATGAAGCCAGCAGCCATATTGTGAGCTGCCCTCTGGAGAGGCCCATGCAGCAAGGAAATGAGGGTGGCCTCTGGCCAACAGCCAGCAAGGAATGCAGGTCCTGAGGGGAAGTGAATGCTGCCAACAGCCACTTGAGTGAGTTTGGAAGAGGATCCTTTGCCAGAGGAACCTAGAAATGAGACCCCAACCACAGCTGACACTTTGGTCACAGCCCCATGAGAGACCCAGAGCAAGAGTACCCAGCTAAGCTGCACTCAGATTCCCCATCTCTGATCATGGTCTGCAGAACTCTCCGTTAACTGGCTCTTGCCTTCCTCAGGACTTCCTTGTCTGCCACTTCCTTCTGGCACTTTACACACAGTGATACCTAATACAGCATCACACTGCTTCACACTCCACCTCCACGTGGACCACCCTGGTGTCACCTCAGCCAGGAAGCCTTCTCCCACCAGACCTCAGGTGCACACTTCCCTCACAGCACTTAGCACTCTGCACTCACATCTTCTCTTCAAAGGTCTGTCCCCTCACGACACTGTAAGTTCCTTAAAGGCAAGACCATCGTTTCTTCCTCTTTCTATTCTGAGGACCTGGCACAGTGCCTGGCACTTAGGAGATCCTCAACGAAACCAGGAACTAAAGAAATAGACTGTAAAGTGTCTGTTGGGTTTTTTAATTGAAACCTCACTGATAGCCTCAGCAAGAGCGAGGAAGAGGGTGGGGTCAGGTGGGGCAGACGGGTGGACAAGAGGGGGAAGTACAGCCAGCAAGAAACAGGTGGGGAAGAGAGACAGAAAACAGTGAATTAGAAAGCAGAGCAGTAATAAGATGTCAAGTAAATATATAACTTATTTATTTAAGGTTGTTGATATTTTGTTCTTTCTGTGCTCTAAGATGAAAAAGAATTAAACTTGTAAAAAGTTAGATAACAAATATAAAACACCTAGCAGAGTCAGACTTAGAGTAAGCAATCTATGGAATATTCGCTCCTTTCTTTTGCTTTTAATGTGGAGCTAGCAGAGAGAGGGATGATGAAGGGAAAGGTAATACACAGGACCCACACGAGTAAAAGGAAATGGGCATGAAACTTCGGGGGGTGATGGCAACATTCTAAAATTGGATTGTAGTGATGGTTGCACCACTCTGTAAATTTACTAAAAGTCATTACATTGTTTTTTCAAAAAAAGTAAATGTAGGACCAAAAATAGGGAAGGAGAACTTAAAATGTTTGTGCAAGCATTCTTACTAGGTTCATTGGTGATGCCCCATCAAAGTGTAAAGTAAAGCGAAGCAAGATGGGGCAGGAAGCATCCTTAGGAGAACAATGGGACTCATCTCTCCCTCTCTTTAACGCCTGGTGCCATCGCCAATAAGAGTCATTTCAGAAGAGGTGATAATTTACAGGGATCATCCATGGGACTCAGCCCAGGCATAATTCAGTGCCCTACCCCACAATATTTTGCATCGCTCATATGTATTCATTAAAATCCACAACTGTGTCCCATTCAGGGGAGCCAAAGAACAAAATGATGCCCAGCAGAAGGCAGTGGTATAAGATGCTGACATAATTTCTCTATTATCCTTTTAATTTCTGTAAGGTTGGTTGTGATGTCCTTTCTTTCATTCCTAATTTTAGTAATTTGAGTCTTCTCTTTCTTTTTCTTGGTCCACCTAGGTAAAGGTTTGTCAATTTTGCTGATCCTTCCAAAGAACCAACTTGTGATTTCACTGCTTTCTGCTCTCTTCTTTATTACGTCCTTCTTCGTGTTTGCTTTGTGCTTAGTTTGCTCCTCTTTCTAATTTCTGAAGGTAGAATACTAGGTTATTGATTTGAGAAATTTCTTCCCCAGTATAGGCATTTTCATGTGTAAGTTCCCTCTAAGCGCTCCTTTAGCTCATGCCATAAGGTTTGGTATGTTTTGTTCTGTCACATACCTGCCCCAGCTCCTTTAACTGCACACTTTACCTCCAGTTCTTTGTAAAGCACGCTGTAGTACCATTTCCTTGGGTTTTTTTGAAATTTACAGACATTGATATTTATTAGATCCTTTATTTTCTAGAATTAGAATTGTTTCCTGTCTTTCTTCATTTCTAGGATGTCTTTGCCATCTTTTACATTTCCTTTACTTTTTAGGTTCATTCACTCTTTCTTCCTCTTTGAATACTAATGGTTATTTTGCAACAGCATGGAGAAATAGCGGTGAATAAGCAGGAAATAGGAGGCAAGCACTGAAATGCGGAAAAAGAGAGAGAGGGAGAGAAAGTTAGGTACTTACTAAAGATTAATAGTATCTTGAAGAAAATAATTATTAAAGCATAATGAAAAGAGGTTATCTATTTTGGTCCTTTCTTGACAGAACAAGTGGAAAATTAGCAACCTCTCTATAATTTTTCCTGTATATTTTGTAAAAAAAGTGTGAGACTGACTCACCTAGGGAGCGTAAAATCAAGGAATGATGTGTTTGGAGGTATCTAAAGAGCTATTATGACAAAAATGTTGGTCATTTGTTTTCCATCTGAGATTGCCCATTTAAATAGGTCTATTTTTCAAAAGAAAAAAATAAAACAAAAAGCTATTTGCCTTCAATGATCTTAAGATTAACTCACTTGGTTAAGAAACTCATTAAACAACTTCCTGAGATTTCCAACTCAATGAAGCAATAATATATTGGCAACAGACAGTCCTTAGACTGTCAAGGTCATTAGAAGGCTGACCAACATTTAGGATCCTCAGAAGAAAAGAAAGAAGGTTGCCAGGAACCTAGACAGGACTGAGACTAATTAATTGAGAAGACTGCTATGCATCTAGCATGAACGGACGAGAGTTGGTGTTCTATAGATTGGGTCTGCCCATTAGTCAAGTTCTGGCAGGAATAATGGTAGTAAAGGAGACAAACAGAGCTTACCATAGTGCAAGATGGTCATCAGGAACACAGGAATTTAGCTTGCTTTTAAAGATTTCTGGAATCCTTATATACAATGCAATATTATAGGCTTCTAGTTAAGATGGGGGCATACTCTCGGGTTTTGGAAAAATTAAGAAAGACACCAGTAAATCTGGGAGAAAAAGGAATAATTTCTTCTTAGTTTGAGAAATGCAAATAAGATGTAAGGGTTTAGGGTTGTGTCATACCATGGAGGAGAAAGAGGAAAATGAGGGACACAGAGACACCTAAGCCCTTAAGGAGAGACTCAAGCACTTCCTGGATCACAGCAAAGAAGTATGTCAGAGGGAAGAGGACCAGAGAGATTGATCCCATTGGAGAAGCAGTCTGTTTGCAGTTGGACCAGAGGACTATGTCTCTTCAGAGCATCACCAGGAAAATACAAAGAAAACCAAGATACAGTTGAGAATCCTGGAGCCAGGATACACATAGGGGTGAACACTTCTGTTTATGCTTTAAGTTATACTTTTTACTTCATTCATTAACACTTTCACAGACTTATTTCCTACCATTCCTAAGAGGAAACTAATTTCCTTTAGATCAGGGTCTCTCAATCTCAGCTCTTTTGACATTTCAGGCTGTATAAGTTTTCGTGAATGTTGTCCTATGTATTGCAGGATCTTTAGCAGCATTTCTGGCCTGTACTCACGAGATGGCAGCTGCACCACCACCCCCCAGTTGTGACAACCAAAAATGCCTCCAGATGTTGCCAAGTGTCCCCCACCCCTGGGGGGAAGAGGTAGCAAAATTGCCACTGGTTGATAACCATTTGTTAAGATACACTATTTCAAATAATAATTATTCAGACTAATTAGGACTTCTTTTTTTTACTGAAGAAGATTTGCCCTGAGGTAACATCTGCTGCCAATCTTCCTCTTTTTGTATGTGAGCTGCCACCACAGCATGGCCACTAACAGACGAGTGGTGTCAGTCCATGCCTGAGAGCTGGACCTGGGCTGCCAAAGTAGAGTGTGCTGAACTTAACCACTTAGGCCACTGGGGCCAGTCCTAATCAGGACTATTTGATACCATCAAATTCAGTTTGGGAAAAAAAAAAAAAGAAACCTGCATAGAATTAATCACATTCTGTTTTCCATAGATATTAAAAGTTTCAGGTAAACTTTGAAATTGTTCAGATCAGTTTATATCTGGGTAGGTTGAAAAAAAGAGATGATTCAAAAGCAATATAATAGTTGAATTTAAAAATCTCTTTTAAATTGTGTTTCTTTTAAAGTAGATAACACTGTTTAATTAACAAAATTGACAGAACACGCGTTTCCATTTTTCTAATATATGACTAGTCTAGTTAAGACTGTAACCTCATGCACACATGAATATTCTTTTTGCCCCATTTCAAAGATATTGCAATCTGATCAGCTAAATCTGATTATTTAGTATAAAAGTGTCTTGTAAAGTCAGCAAGCAGAGAAAACTAGTACATATTCAATAGCTACATACAAAATAAATTTCAGACAAAGCTTTAATTTCACACCCTATCTTCTATATCAATTATAGAATTTATACATAAAGATATACATATTTATTGATAGGAAATACTACCTATACTAATAGAAGAAAATGTGCATTAAAAACTAGAAGGAACTTTTTTCATATACTGGCAAAGTCAGTTCAATGAGTGCCATGCCACTGCTAACAGGAGATTCATGCTCGCATGGAGGCAGTGTGATATGGCCTCTGCTGACAAGAAACTGTCCCTTTAACTCCAGACAAGAACACCAGTCTGGCTCTCACCTGATTTATCTGTAGAGTCTTCAAATTCCACGAGGAAAGAGTACCCGTTATTCCAGATGTGGAGGCAGGTGGCCGGGTCATAAGAGATGGTGAGCGGTTTTAAGCCAGGATCATACACGCTGTCCCTCCACCGGATGTTGATGGGCGACTGGCGCTCGCCTGCCGGGACCAGGTCCACGCTCTCCCAGAGTGGGTGCACTAGGAGAAAGCACATCCGGGCTATCACCAAGATGTCCACTATCTGGGATCACACACCAGGCAATTCCAGTTGCGGAGAGCCTGTCGAGGCCGATGGAATTGAAGTCTTAGGAATTAGCTGCTCAGGGGCATAAATGACTGACCAAGGCAGAAGACAAAGCGGTCAGAGAGCAGCTTGTAGAGAAGCGGCCTTCTGCTGTCTCATCAAGCTAAAGCATCTCAGGTGACCTTCTAATTTCACCTAAACCGAGTGACACCCAGTCCTGCGATAACAGCAAAATGCGTGGAGACGAGCGCCATGTGGAATAGGCTATTCTCAAACGAGTTCCTTCTCTTTATTGATAATTTTCGGAGCCCAACCTGCCAAGCCAGCTTTAAATACAAATACAAATTAATGACATTTTCAGTACTGAACTTATTTTCAACAAAGGAAATGAGGGAAGAGGAGGAAGAATTTTTGGACAGAACGTTCAACCAAGCATGGTAAGGTTTTAATTGGTTGGCTAGTAGAAATAAAGGCTTGCGTAGCATGCATCCTGTAATCTAGCTTGCTGTTTTGAAATTTCTGGAATCCTAGACACAATGTAATATTATAGGCTTCCGGTTGAGATGGGGACACACTCTAGGGTTTTGAAAGAATTAAGAAAGATACCGATGAATCTGGGAAGGAAAGGAGTAATTTCTTCTTAATTTGAGAAGTCTAAGTAAGATGTTCAGGGTTTTGGGGCCATGTCATACCATGGAGGAGAAAGAGGAAAATAGGGGACACAGAGACCCCTAACCCTTAAGGAGAGACTCAGACCCTTCCTGAATCACAGCAGTGAAGTATGTCAGAGGGAAGAGACACAGGGACATTGATCCCATAGGAGGGATTATACGGTCCCATAGAAGTGCGTCTGCTGAGTTTACCTCCCATGTAAGCGAACTGTGAGCACAAGGCAGCCATCCTGCGAAACCTGGGCAGAGAATCAGCATTGCTAAGGTCCCTGGAGTTCTGTTTGTCACGTGCACAGCTATGGACATTATATATGAAGGTGTACATGCACAACTTGTCCCACATGGCACCCACAGTGATGACATCACTGATGATGATTTTTCTACCCAAGAGTCAAGCACCAGGTCTTTGTGGCAAGTCCTGATAAATCTCAGCGGACTTCCTGTAACACAGATAGAGCTGTTGAGACATCCATGCATGATGGACAGAACCCACGTGTATAATTTGGGTGGTGCAGTTCTCTGCCCTTTAGAAACACCACGGATGGGAACCAAGACCAACAGGAAAACTAGAGGAAATATGAATGGAGATAAATCATGACCAACGACCCTCTGTACCTCACCCCACTACTAAGAATGAGTCAAAGGATTTGAGAAAGTGACAGGGCAGCTGCTACCCAGTCAAAACCCCTGTGTATGCCAGGGTCACTGGCACTCCACTTTCCACTAAAAAAGCCAGAAACCTGCCTCTTGTTTACTCTTATAGAGGAGACATCTCTTCCTGAGGTAGTTGCCCAAAGCTGGAAGTTCAAGTTCAAGATCTTAACCTTATTTTGTTTTGCTTTTTTGGGAAAAGTGCACCAGTAGTATAGATATAGAGCTCTCCAGGCAGTTTCTAGATCAGTGGTTTTCAAGGGAGGAAGTGATTTTGTGCCCTCCCAGGGGACAGTTGGCAATGTCTGGAGACTGTTGGTTGTCACAACTGGAGGAGAGTGTTACTGACATCTAGTGGGCAGAGGCCAGGCATGCAGCTAAACATCCTACAATTCACAGGACTGGCTCCCACAAGGAAGATTTATCTGGCCCCAAATGTCAATAATGCCAAAGTTGAGAAATCTTGGTCTACAGCTAAAAAGCTATAGGCAAATTCAGAGTATTCTCTTTTTTCTTTCTATTTTTTCATATAACGCAGTACTCATCTCTAGGGAGGTCCAAATCCAATGTTTTGGGTTTTCTCCCTTAGTATAAAAGAACTTGTGAAGAACAAGAACTTTTTCAGAAATCTAAAATGGAAAATGCATATGAGTCGGTACAATAAAGTCACACTATAATTGGATTAGAACGCAAATTCCTTGCAGGCAGGAGCCATATCTCCCTCCTTTTTTGTTGCCCTGTAGTGCCTTAGTCAATATAGGCCCTTTAATTTGAGTATTGATTATTCAACTGCTAGTGTTGGGATGAAAAGCTGTATTTGAGTAATTATGTGATATCTTTAAACTTCCAGAAACCCCTAGAACAGCCCTGATTCAGATTTAAAGATGCCCAGCACAAAGAGACCTTGCCCCCTCTTCCTCTCTGAGATACTCAGACCTTGGCTGAGGATTTGAGAATCACCCTTCAAAAGCAATTTACGAGGGTCTCCTGTGAAGACCAGGGGAGAGGTGGAATAATAAGCAGATGCCTGACACGATGCCCTCTTTCACCCTCCATCGTTCCCCACTTCCTTCACGTAATGGCCAGAATCTACTCTCACACCCACACAAACACCAGCCCAAGAAAACCAGGCCTATTCCTCCAATTGCTCTTTTATGACCATAACACTCCTATCACTTGATGCCCTTCAGTTCACAAGTTCGGCTTCCAGAAGGTTTTCTCCACTTGCCCCCCACGACCTCCTTCTTTACAAACCCAGACCATTTCCCCACTAGGGGGGCCCTTGGTCACTGTCCCCTTAGTGAAGCCAGCTTTTGCCAAGGGCTTGTTTTGCTAAAGATAAATTCACATTTTTGTTCTCTCCTCCCTTCCTCTTCTGCCATTTTAACCAAATGCAGATTGAAATGATTTCTTCGTAGTTGCTCATACTGTCCCTCAAAACAGGAAGATGATTAAGTGTTCTGACCACAGAGCCTTCATTTTCAGGTTCTTCTTGTTTGAGGAAAATGAAATAGAGTGATTTTATCGACCATGGTTTAAGTGAGTGATGCCATGCTGCCATTAGGAAGGTGTCAATAACAAACGCCCTTTAGATTCCATAGTGAGGATATGCTCGGTTTTAGTTCTCATTTATTTCTACGACTAGTCCTGACTCTGATTTATCTTGTGCTTGGACTACCCCGTCTCCAGCCTGAGGCGGGTGGAGGTCTTCCTCTTTCAGCCCTAGAAATGTGGAAATTGCATTCCTGCCTTTCCTCCTCAGTTCCTGCTCCTCCTCCTCAGAAATCAATTGCCCCTCATTCAGCTCAAGGCCGGCTCCTATTATCTTTAGGTCCTGGGCTTAAGTGGCACCTCCTCAGTGAAACTTTTTTTGACTACCCCCTTATGATATGACCCCTTTTAATTTTTAATCATAGCACTCTGATCTTTTCCTTCAAAACATTAAACAGGTATGGTTATGATTGTACGCATATGAAGGGTAGCAGAATATGCCACGATAGGAGAAGAAAACCTTACTTGAGACCCACCTGTAAGACAGATTAACAGGAGGAAAAAATTTTAATTCCCTACTTACTTATGGGAGCCCCACAAAGATATGAGACTCAAAAGGCAGCCAGGCAATTGAGGCTGATACACCTGAGCTAAGGAGAGGGACAGGAGTCTGGGGCTTGAAAGGGGAGGAAGGAATTTCACAGGAAGGCGAGAAGAGGAAATGTATCGTAAAGAGAGTTTGCTCCGCCATGCCGAAGTCTCTCAGGTGAAAAAGCCATCTCTGGTAACAGCCCTCTTCCTGGTACAGGCCCCTTTCTAATGTAAATTTCCCTTACAAAAGGGTCACTTCTACTGTTTCCAGAGCTTCTCCTGTGTCTGCAGTTTCTCAAAATAATCCTTATGCCAGCGAGGTATACTTTGGGATGGTGAAGGGGGGCAGAATATGCCACCCTCAAATACGCCTCTTTGGCATAAGGATTATTTTGAGCTGATTATTTTGGAAACACCAGAGACAGGAAAAGCTCGGAAAACAAGAGTAGAAGTTAATCTTTTGTAAGAGACATTTACATTTATGAGGGAAATCTCCATTTGTAAGGGTGTCTCCCTCTCCCTACCAGGAAGAGGAGGATGACTAAATCACCAGAAACTCTTCTGTTTCAGTGGAGAAGGCAGGATTTAAATCTGCATAACAACCTTACCTTGTTTACTGAGCTTTGCCTGGTCGCCTCCCATAATTGGCCTCCCCTCCACCTCCCCATATATTTCTTTCCTCTTTAGCTGAAGATGGTATTTAAGGTGGTGTTACTACCCAAGTGGGCTCGTCTGTGCGCCACAAGACATGCCAACAGTCAGGAGGCAAGGTGGTAGTGATGAGGATTTTAGGCTGGTTACTTTTAAAACTGCAGATGAGAAGCAGGCTCCGAGGACTGGAATTTGCTTGCTCTTTGAGAGATATTTGCATTTGTGAAGGAAGGGGGGATGACCTTGTAGGGACCTGAAATTGGCCACCCCAAGATATGTCTCTTTGGGATCAGGATTATTTGAGGCTGATTGCTTTTGATAAACTGGGACAGGGAAGGAGGCTCTGAGGAATGGAACTTGCCCTTTGTTAGGACACATTTACATTTGTAAGGTAAATCTCTATCTGTAAAAGGTGCCTCCCTCTCTGTACCAGGAAGAAGAAGAGAGATGACCTTGTCTCTAGAAACTCTTAATGGGGAAGGCAAGAACTTAAGTTGGTTACTGTCTGGCAATCTCACGTAACTGATTTAGGGTGGTGGCTTCTGACCTTTACTTAATCCGATTTGATTCTTGTCTAAAAGTCATGGGATCACCCAATGTCCAGACCCCACCTGCACTGAAACCATTTTAACTTTTTTCATGTTCTTTCCTTTGTCTTGTAAAGAGATGACTCACATACCCATGCCTTAAATTTAGCTCTAACCCTCAACTCGGGGCAGCAGCGGCTCCTCCTGCCCGTGGGCCCTGTCCCCACGCAGCAGCCCGACTGCCCATGGGTCCTGTCCCCATGCTATTCCACACTATTCTCTAAATAAAAGAGCACTACTGCCAGATCTTGAGAGTCCAAGAAATCTTTCTTTCGACTCCTCGGCTCACCGACCCCGCATCAGTAGGAGAGA